CCCCAATCTTCTTCCCAATTGCCACCTCTCTCATATCCTCAAACTCATGCTCAAGCCTGAGGTCTTTACCCTCCCCCACATAATCCATATGGACTCCAGTGGACTCCAGTGGATTTCAGTGGCCCTCTTACCAGGCCAGATTGGCTGGCAGAATGCCCAGTCCACTGGAGTCCAGTCCAGTCCAGTATATTATTGTTATTATATATGAATCCTAATTATATTAATGTAGAACGGCACAGCATTATGTAAAATATTTACGTAAGCAAACCGTTGTGCTTTAGTGAGTCACAATTGTCACATGGTGTAATCACAACCACAGAACATTGTGTTGGTAGCTCCCAACCACATTCTGCAATAGTAAAAATTTGTATAGTGCTGCATTAATTTTTTGTGAGTGTTTTTGTGTCACACCTCTCTCAATCTCACTTTTTCTGTACTATTGTTTACAGATAATTCTAATCATAAACCCTATTTTCAGTGAAAACCCTGGGGTCTCTCCATGTCTGTTTGAAACCTGGCCTCAGTCAGCTGAGGGAGGTTGTTTGGTTATGCTTGCAGAACTGGTGTCGGAGATGAATCCAGCTGTGCCAAACACCTGCCATGTGGCACTAGATAACCTTCCTTTGAGCATCATTATCTACCGTTATCTACTCAATCGTAACTCTCATGCTTGAGTTCCCTCCCTACCCCACTATAATACTCCACCATATGTCTGCCCAACAACGATCTTCAAACCCTCCTGCAAATACATCTTTGCTGACTGCCTCATGTAGCCTTGTGGAGGACCCAGGCCACATCCCAGAGCACTGTGGTGGAAGCTGGAGTGCGATGGGGATAATTTCTTGCTCATGTGGTCAATACAGTGCATATGCTCCAACAGAGTTGGCCCTGCCTTTGATTTGTCGTGTGGAGTATCCAAGAGTAAGTCATGGCTTCTAGCTTGGACTTCATAAATAATTTTGGACACCGTTCCACAGCAGTGTGTTTATAAGGGACAGCATAGTTAGATGTACAGTATTCTATTGCTAGTTTTACCCCCTGTTACACTCCCAGGATGAATTTTGACGAGTACTCCTCACTGTCGTCTCATCTATGCTTCTCAGCCTCCTACTTCTCTGAGCTTGTATTTGGCCAAGCTGCTAAGCTCCAATATCCTACCATTGTGCCACCTGGTGCAGTGACAAGTCAGAAGTTCTCAATGGAGGAACCACAAAGTGCTGTCGCCACCTTGATGTCACCACTTGACGTGATTCCCAGTATTTGTGATCTCCTGCCCACCACGTCGGCAATGTAAGGTGCCTATGTGAAGGGTATGAGATCAGTGTTGGTTGAATTTCACATAGGTGGTGATGAATACAGTTATTGCTATCACTTTATGAAGGTATAGTGCTCGTACTCAGGTCTTCCATTCAAATATACAACCTGACATGCTTCTACCACAGATCAGACTTATTGTTCTTATCTGTAACCATAACACGCATGTAGAAAGTGCCCGTGACTTAATCCTCCATCTTTCATTGCCATTTTTCTTAGATATCACTTCTATTGTTGCGGAACTGACACAGACACCCATTCTTTCTACCATCCGAGGCTTATCAACAAACGACGTGCTGCTGTGGAGGCTCACCACCCTCCTTGATGAACGCTGGATGGATGAGGACCTCTTTAATGCCCTAGCTGAAATATCATATTTCAAGCACCAAACGACAATTTCTCTCCCTCCACATGGCCCTGCCTGCCTTTTTCGACATCATTTCTCACTGACTCGTGCAGACACTACCAAAGCCAACCACAACAGTACACAACCGAAATTGTTGATCTTCGACAGCATTTATTGTTGACTTCCATCCAGAGCATATCCATCACATCCATCTTCAACAACCACTATACCGCTTATGTTTATCATGTTGGGTCAACAATTTTGTACCATGGGGATTCATTGCATCAGCCACCTGCCAACAACATCCTGGATATTATCTCATTGGTTATCGCAGGCCTTGGACACCTGCCTGTAGATACAATCAATTGTGGGACTATCTCAAGACAGGGCGGTTTCAATGGCGGAGATGGAAGCTGTGGCATTGCCGCACTTAATTTTATTGAGTCCTATGCTGACAACAACCTTCGCCAAGGGCAAGGCTCAGACTTGCACCTCTTCAGGGACATGGCACTGAAAAACATGATTCACTATCATGATGGTGCACAAATTGAGAGCTTTCCTGCACTCATGTGGAACACATTGGCACACATTTCACCAACTCAATCTACTGCAACCATCTCCGAGATTGCCTCTGGTTATATTGATTTCAACATATATTCACCACTGGTATATTGATTCAATTAATCTGTCATGGTGTTAGCTTACCGACACTTTATCTTTCAGAATTCTCATCCCATCTATGCATTTATCACCCATGAAATGGCTCTGCAATGTTAACTGCAGAAAATTTCTGCACCAGTGGCCAACTCCAGTCTAACATTAACCCAGGCATTGGTACCCATGCCGATAATGCTTGACCATGACATGCCTACAGCATTTGCCACTGGCCCGCCACAGGCCTCCCACATAATTCCTTTATTAGGAAGTCTGGCTTCCACCCATCTGTCTGTGCCAATCAAGCTTGAACCACCACCCAAAAGTATTGCCGCTCCAGGGTTCTCAGGCCTGCTTTCACCATTTGGTCTCACGACACTTATCTCCTCACCAATTAAGCTTGAACTGGAACTTCTCACCAATCCCACCGCTCAAGAACCCTCATTCATTTTGGTGACTCCAAGCCCAGCTTGAAAACGTGGAAATGACTGGTCAGAACCTAGTCTTTCTCCCAACCAACCTCTGATCAATAGGATTTCTGGTCGTCGCCAGTGCTGCCACCGAAACTCTGTTATCACTATCTCCTCTGACTTGGAGACCTCAATCAAACAGATGCAGCTCACAGTGGTTGTACCAAAGACAGAGGTCAAAACAGAGCCGATGCAGAACAATGCTATGGATCTCTGCTCTAGTCCTGAAGACCGCAAACACCCAATTCGAGCTGCAAAACTCAAGCCCTCATCTTTTCAATGGCTACATGTCCCAAAACTCGAGCCCTCTTTCATTGACCTCTGCAGTCTGGCACCTAACAAACATTCTGTGGGAAGAAAGCCCAACTCAACCACAGTTCAGCCATCCTTGCGCTCAGTTGAGCTGGCACCTGGAATTGTTTGCAAGGGGAGTGTTTTCAACAGCTGGGGGGATGCACATGAGGCTGTATATGCTCGTGAAGCATGGCTTGGACATCGTTGGTGCATCACCCAAGGGAAAGTCAACAAGCATGGAAACAGAAAGAAAGTCACTTTCCATTGCAACCATTATTATTGTACTGTCCCCATTCATTCTGCCATCATTGATCCTTCTGATCATCGCTGTGGAAAGACAATCAAGACTGAGTGTTTCGCTCATGTAAATGTCAACCACATTGCAAGTTCTTCTCTCTACCACATAACCCTTATGCACTGGGATCACAACCATGCTCGAGAGATTCCAGAAGGTGGTCCTGTTCAATGCCTTGTGACAACAATGGAGAAGATAGAAATCTCACAGCTGGCGATGAGTTCGAACCAGACATTTACACGTGGGCAAATTGTGGTGGTCCTAGACTCTCAGACTGTTGTCACAGGCATCTGGTGGCAGTCTCCACTCCAGGGTGAGCTCTGCCAGTGTTACAGCGATATCCTGATTAACGACAACACATATGCTCGGAATCAAAATGGATATCCACTCAACATTGGCATCATTATTGATGGGCATGGTTCTTCACGTAACACATGGTATGCCTTGCATGCCCAAGAAGACATCATGCACCATGACTGGGTCTTCAGCTGTCATCTTCAAAGTGTGGGTTTCCCTCCAGATGGGCTAATCTCTGACCGGCACAGATCTATAATTGCGAGCATGCGCCGAATCCTCCCCCTCACTCCTCACTTTTTCTGCATCCATCACCTCAACACAAATGTAGAAACCAATGTTCATTGCAGTCTGGGCTCCCACTGGCCAACATTCACACAGATGTTCTGGCAGACGTACCGTGGGGTTTCCCAGAGGAGTTTGATTGCCTTTGGCTTATTCTTGTGACCCAGTTTCCCTCTGCTCAACAGTACCTTCAGGATGAACTATATCCCTGCCGATCTCAATGGGCATGGGCGTACACCAGCTTTCATTTCACCTGTGGTGTTCGTACCAATGGCTGTGTTGAAGGTGAGAACCAGGTCAACAAGCTCATTGGCGGTCCCAAGAAAAGTGTGATGCAACTTTTCAACGGCCTCAATGAGCATACCACTGGTCAGGGCATCCAGGACATGATTCGTGTTCATGACATATGTTTTTTTCCTTCTTTTCTGTCACAGAACAAGCCAAAATACTTACTGCATCATTTCACAGGTTTCACGTTGCCAGCATGCTGGACCTATTGAGTCAGTCTTTCCTGGCCCACTTCAAGTGCTTAGAATGTATGTCGGACCATATGCGCTTCAGAGGAGTTTCAAGGAGATGGAATTGAGCATGTACTACCAAACAGAGGTTCTGCAACGGCCAGACGGCATTCAGGATTGGGTGCATTGCACAAATACAATCTATTCTGGTGTTCTGTTCTCTGACAACTCTGGATGTGTTGGATTTTGTCAGAATGAGTATGCGATCCAAGTCAAAAATGAAATTGGTTGCAGAGGATGACGGGGCCAACAGAAGGCCACCCTCGGGGTGGAGGGGCTAGTATTATATCACAGAAAGTAGGGAGCTCTGGGTGAAAGTGTGGGGTATGCCAACAGGAAGGTCATACATGTTCCACCTGCCCATTAATCCCTCACCTGTAAGATTTCTGAGTTCGCATTCAATGTGTTAGCTACTGTTTACTTTGTAATTACTTCATCCCATCCTACATCATCACGCTATTGGAAGTCCATTTCGGCAGCAACTTCGAGCTGAGGTCAGACCTCAAATTTGGTTATCAGCCACTCCTAGCTGTAACCTGTACTTTACACTCCCCCACATAGTCCAGTTGGACTCCAGATGGACTCTGGCAGACTCCAGCTGGATTTCTGGAGTCCAAATGGAGTCCAACTATCATACAATCAAATGTTTATATTTCTGGATCATCCAGGTGGAGTCTATCTGGAGTCTGTATACTCTGTGTGGACTCCACCAGACTTAGACCTTAAGTTGATAATTGAGGTACTTAGATTTCATGAGACAAAGAAAATTGAAGTATATTAGCAACTACATAAGTTGATTTTACTACATTCTATGTTACACAGAGGGGGAAAGGAGTGGGGGGGGGTGGGAATGGTGATCAGGAATGGAGGGAGGAGGTAGAGAGGAATGGAGGGGGGAGGGAAAGGGAGAAGGGAAAGAGGAATGGAGGGAGGGGGTAGAGAGGAATGGAGGGGGGAGGGAATGGAAGGGAGAAGGGAGAGAGGAATGGAGGAGGGATGGAAAGGGAGAAGGGAAAGAGGAATGGAGGGAGGGGGTAGAGAGGATTGGATGGGGACAGAGGAATGGTGGGGGAGGGAAAGGGAGAAGGGAGAGTGGAATGGAGGGAGAGGGGAGAGAGAGGAATTGAGGGGGGAGAGAGGAATGGAAGGGGGGGGGAGT